TGGAAGCAATAATACAAGTATTATATTATATACATGAAATTTAGTTAATTAATTAAATTAAATTATAAACTATATCATATATCACGTGTAGGTTAATGCAATGCAACGAGAAAACTATAGCTTCTGCATCATATCTTGAGTGTTCAGCTGTTGCAGTAATTGCAATATTTGCTAGCTGCAGTGCTGCTTAATATTACAAGTTATCTTAGCCAATCCGAAATGAAAGTATGAAACATTTATAATAATAAATCGAAGGTCAAATATACTGCAGAACATACACTATATACATAGAGGTACTCTATATAGGTATACTATACGCTTGTATAATATTAGACATCGTGTGACCTATGCTTATATACATAACATATGCTGTAACTATTTCGTTAAATCTGCTTTTCATGAAAACTTGTCTATTTTATGAAATGAAAATGGCTTTTTCACAGTTAGTGAATTATAAAAATATTTCATGAAATGGTCTCTTCAATTTGACATTGCCTAATTAAATGAAATACAAAAATTATGAAGTGGTTATAGACTTAGTGAAATATAACTTTTTAATGCGCACAATTATTATTATTTAATATATACATATAGGAACATGATTACCTATTATTTTTATGTCATATTTAATAGCATTCAAAATTGTATTTATATAAAATTATATTTATTCAAAGATATAAAAGTCAAGATGTTAAGCTATACATTCAGATAATATTAATTTTAATATAGGTAAATATTCAATATTTTAAAATTTATAAATATTTAAGTTATTTATAATATTAAATATAAGAACATAAAAATAATATTTAAATAAAAAGCTATATTATACAAGCTTTATTAAGAATTTTTATTTATGCAAGACATTTTTTTTCAGGACAATGAGCAATGGTAATGATTGTTACATTTCATGGTATTTATGTACTTTTAAGATAAGCAGGTTTTTAACTGTTCATGTAAAAAGTCATACTGAACGGTAGCGTACCTAAATCGGGTTATACACAAAATAATCGAATTTTTAAAAGATATGGATAAAAATTTGGTATGCAAATACTGTCTTATTAAAAACTATTTTTAGAAAAAGCGTCATAAATGGTTATATTTATTTTTGCGCTATAGTTATTGGTTACTATTTTTGTTATTATTTTAATAACTAAAGGTAGCAGTTTCAACTGTTATTACTAACTGTATCATTATTATTTCAGGGGTGTGATAATATTATGATAATGTCAGTTAACTAAGGATCTTATACTCACTGTACATAATTATATTATTTATATTAATTGCCAATCAACACATAAGTACTTATATATACCTAGGTAGTAAGTACTATATTATAAGAAATAATATGTTGAGTTACCGGTAAAATCGAACCAGATGAATACCACCCCTTCTTTCACCCCATAAATATAACACAGAGACTAAAATATTAGTTATACAGTCGATGTATAGTTTAAATAATTTTATAATACAACTTGAAATATAACTTAACCCTACAGTATATACGGTCATACCGTGAACAGAGCACACGCACGCGCGCGGGAGATACCTACTCAGTTGACGATTGACTATAAAGAGAGCAGTGCCGACAAACGAGTACATATTATAAACGTGATACATAGACAATCGCGTGAAACTAACATGATGACTTGGCGGTTTCGGGGGGCGGCCGCAATGTCTCTAAACACGGAGGAACGGTCAAGTGCGTGCGAAAAATCTCCGTCAATGTCACGTGTCTCGACGGCCGACGGATTTTCGTCGTAGGTATATCTTATAAGTATAATATGAGTACGACGATGGATTTCGCACGTGCACTGTATCATACGGCGTATTATGCATAATATAATTACTACTTATTATTATACGAATATTTATGGTTATTAAGATATTAATAATAATCATACGAATACTATATATCAAAAAATATGTATGCGTATTGCTGTATAAATATATTACGAGTATAATTTAGATATATTGATTATAGGTGTCTAATATTAAACGTTTACACATATATACATACGTAATTTCATAATATTATATATATACACGACGTCGTCTTATAATTTACCTTAAAGACATTCAATATTATTAACCACAAAACAATGGAATCACAGAAGAAAAATTTGAATAGAGTACTTATTACAAACAAATCAAGAAATATAAAACGTTCCATTACAAAATTGAAATTGTCTCTTATTTTAAAAAGAAGAGACCACTTGGCATAATAATCATTAGCGTTAGAATAGGACACACGAATCTATAATTTACTCCTCCTCATCACCAATCATCAAAGAACTGCTCCCTACATACGACACTTGTAAGAAAAATCTTATACAATCAATCAAGTTATAACCAAATGCCTAAAATAAACTGGAAATGAAATGTCTTTACTAACTCAGCTGTACTCCAACACGCACTTCATCAAAAAAAAAAAAAAAAAAAAAAATACGGAAGCAGTATAATATTTATTTTTCCATAGTTTAACTCAAGTTAACAATTGTAAACAGTGTTATTTTGTTTTATCTAATCTAAGAGTAGACTAATAACCACATCTATTGAATTCTTAATGGACAATTTAAAAAAAAAAAAAAACATCAACATAGTCCTGAAGTTTCTATAGCAATGATGCTTACAAATCCCTCAAACGCTTTTAACCATGTGCACTTAAATAGATATAATACAATGTGTATACTCTTAGATCGGTATAATTGTTGCATCCCCGGCAAGAGAAGGTGTCAGGGGCAACTACGTGAGGATTAATATAAAACTATGTACCTACACACACATAAACGAAATAGTTCGAATAATACCGTTTCATTTGTTTCTTATCCGATCACTTAATCTCGTTGCCTTCATCTCATATATGTTATACCTAGGTACCCTACAATGCGTATTATTATTATATTATACCTATTACGACAACAGCTCTCTTTCGGACACACCGTCGAGTGCATATACGTTTATACCGTATAATATTGTTATTCTTTCCGATTACAAAAAATCTATACATTATATATCTTAAACCTATATTTTATCGCGGATACGGTGCTTACCAAACAATAAAGCGTCCAGATCATTAGTTTTATTGACCTAAACATCGATATTATAGTAATACGATTATCTCACGAATAGTCGATATCGAAATATATTTTTCATCTATGATAAAGTCTTGTATTTTAAATAAAAAACTCATGATTGTTATTCGTTGTTAATCGTTGTCCAATTTACAAATATTAAAATGTTAACGGTTATCTCTATAATAATTTAGTATAACAAAAATTACAGTTTTTATTATTATGTACCTGTTTGATACGAGCACATAATATAATATAATATAATATTATATATATATGAAACTGCATGAGTAAAATATCTAAGACGTATCCTGGTTTCTGCAAATAAGTATGTGAATTATTGTTTTGTATTACCTACATACAAAGAAACCGTATATACAGGAAGTCGTATTTAGATAATATAATAGTGGAAAAAAAATGTTTTTTTACGGATAAGATGTTTTTATAGTGTTATAGTGTCTTGTGTGGACAGTGGCCAAATACGTTTTTGAGAATTGGCCAAAACACAATATATAGATCATGATGCCTCCTGTTGTAGCGGTATGTGTGTATTGTTAAATTTGTTACGGTGGTTTATATCGCCTTTTTTTTTGTTAAATAAACATAATGTATTAGTATAGATGCTTTAAACGACAATGACGTTTAAAAGGTTTAGGGTATTATATAATCGGGATACGTGATCTATTAAATTCAAACCTCTCAAACCACAGTACAATTGTATTACGACTTGTCAACAGGATATTGCGAATACCCTAATATATGAACAGGTAGATCCTGAAGATGCATCAATGACGAAAAACTACCGCTAAAAAATAGCACGCTATGAATGAACATGACGTATCAATGGACATACGTATCTCAGTATATGCACATAAATGCACACGCTCTGCATGATACTATATTATACTCTACTATATTATTGAGTGAGAAAAATATACGTCTGACCTTTTACAGCACATATTATTTCGCACTATACACGGATGTATTAAACATATTGTTATATTATATATACTACGCAGGAACCAATGTGGTAGTGCAGGTATAATATATTGCATTGGAACAGGTACCTACAAATTATATAATGTGGTTGATGTTGTAACTTTGAAATATATAACATACTCGTATTACATAAACGAGAATTTATCATATTATAGGTATATATGGGTATAATATTGATCGATTGAAATTATTAGAACTGCAGAGAGAAATATACCTAATATTTAACTAATACGATTGATATATTTATTAGACGTAAGAGAACGTAATCTGTGTACGAGCTTTGTTATTTATAGGTTATTATTACTTAGAAATTAAAACTTATGAGTGCCTTATTACATTTTACTGATGCAGTGATCAATTTATGAATTGTTTAAGATGCACATAAATACCCTATAAAATAATTCTAAAGGTAAGTTGTAAGTATTACATATTATATACCTACGTATTACACGTATAATAATAACAAAATCGATATCGCACCCCCAAATTGGACAAGCACGAATTAAGACTGAAAATTAGGTTATAAGTGATACTGTATAAAATCAATACGAATTAAAACGAAGTAATGGCGCTGACGGTATAAATAAGTATACTTTAATATCAAAAAACGAATACGATAGAGATGCATATATCGTTTGTTACATTATTACAATATACAATTGTTGTGATGTTATATCAGCTAAGAAGTCGAGTTTGAAAAGTAGTGTACTGTATATATAGTTTTATATATTTTTGATGTGTACACACTTATTACCACAATGCCTACATAGAAACGTTGACCAATTCATATCGTAGCTCTTAAAATTAGTCACAAGTACCGATAAATATGGGTCAAGTCGTATATTCTATAAGTATAAGCAGGTACTAAGAGTTGTAAACGATGTATAAATAGAGTTAAAAATATAAATCTATTTATAGGTATGGACTTACGCATTCCGGCCACGTGGTTCTTTTTCATCCACGGGTAGATGACCCGGTCCGAAGACTCGCTGTCGTCCATCATTATCGGTGACCCGTTGACCGTGGTCATCATCATCTCGTCCGTGTCCGTGTTGCAGTCGTCCATGTCGTCGGAGCATGACCCGTCCAGCGGATTGTTGGACATGTGGTTGGACGACGATGGGCTCGGTTGCAGATGGCAAGGCAGCGGCGACGGTGACGAGTCGTCCTTGATGTCATGCGACATTACCGCGTTAATGGCCACTGTCTGCAGGCCGCCACCGGCCCCGGACGGTATTATGCTGCCGCCCTGACACTGTTGCGCCGCGGCGTTGTGCATCAGAGCGGCCGGCGGTTGTTGCGCCTCGAGCGGCATTTGGCCACCGTGGTGCATCTGGTAAGCGCCGTAATTGGAGGCCGCGCTGGTGTAATACGACGGAGTCTGGCCTGGGCTCGGGTACATGGCCTGTATCTGTTGCTGGTAGTGTCCCTGATAGTGGCCGCCGCCGCTTGCTCCAAGGACGCTCGAGCCGCCGACGCCGACACCGCCGTTGGCCTGCACTTGCTGGTGGCCACCGCCACCGCCGCCACCACCACCTCCGCCACCGCTGCCTCCGCCGCCGCCGCCGCCACCACCGCCACCACCGCCGATGTGTTGAGTATGTTGGCTCAGGTGATTAGCATGATGAGTGGGATGGTGGTGTTGATGTTGGTGGTGGTGATGCTGATGGTGAGGGCTGCTGAAAAAGTCCGGGGAACCCATGTAGTTCTGCATGTTGCCGTAGTCGTCCGGCGGCGAGTACTTAGGCTCCCCCATCATCATCTGGTGCATCTGCGTCGGTTGATGGTACGGCAGCGTGTTGTGGGTGAGGAACGAATTCATGGTTGGCGCATCCAATACACCATGCACTATAATCTATATAATTTATGTACTGTACACCGCGGAGTGCAGCGGATAGTATAAAAAGCGTGCGAAGTTAGACGACGACGACGACGGTGATTGAAATACGGGCGAGGGGGTAGAAAGCTGTTCGACGAACGCTGTGATAACGTCGATAAAAAAAAAAAAAAACAGCCGCGAGACGGATGTAAAAAGAAATATCGCATACGGACAATATAACGATTATCAAATATCTCTAACGCGTTAAAAGCAAACGAAACAGGTTGTCGATATGAGAATTCGCACGCGCGCGCAGCGGCCCGATGAGTCGTATCTATGTATTACGGCGGTGATCCGGTCAACAACACTCGACACTAAGCGGACAACGAATGACGAGACGATTTTTTCATTCCCTACGATCATATGGTACGATATACCTACGGGCGGCGCGCGCACACACACAAACAAACTCGGAACACCGTTTTGGGCATACTGGCGCGCGGCGGCGGTGGCGGTGACGACGGCCGTCGGGGCCGGTGCGCGCTGCGATCGTCACCGTCGCCGGGTAGAGGGGTAAAACAACGCCGGAAGGCACGCCCCGCACGTGACCGGCCGTCGACCAATCGCGGGGCGCCGCCATATCGCCTACCATGTTTGCTGCGGCCGCCAACGACGTCGCGCGCGCCGCCGTCCTCCGCGCGACGATCGCCCCGATTTTTCTCGGCGTCAATGAATCGCGATGCATATGATGCGTAGACATCACACAGTGTAATGAACATAAAAAAAGTGTTTGAGAGTTATAAACAGTGTGTGTTACAGAGACAATAAACGCGAGATGTTTTCAGGTGATACCTGACAGGCGACAGCGTACGACTTACTGACATTATGAATTAAAAATGTTATAAGAGTATTCAAATATAATACAATTTTTCAGAGCTCGCATTCGAATTATTGTTCCGTTAGGATTTGCGTGAACGTGGACTCCACAGGGACTTTAGCGAAGACGATATTTCTTGGAACATATTATTATACACCTATATTTAACGTCTAAATAATATGCATTAAACTAGTCAAAGGTATTTAATATATGTATTGTTGATGAAAAAAAAAATATTCAATGATTATATTATAAATTATATGATATAAGGATTATGGTTTAGGTTTAGGTTATTTGTAGTAAATTTGGCAACAAAATGAAGATAGGTTACCTACACTTTATGAAATAAAACATATAGATATTAAGCAACACTCATGAATATTATGCTTATATATTGATGTATATATAGTATACATATACTGATACTTATAGTCTATACCTTATTAGTAGGTACCTATAGGTACCTATTATAATACTTATGTATGCATTTATTTATTTTTAAATAGATAAAGTTCAATAACAATTAAATATATAGAACATGTTTTAAAATATAGTAATACATATCAGTATAATTATACATAATATAGATGTCTGAATCTCAAATCTTCACATTATTTTATCAATTTCAGCTAGAAAAAAGTTAATAAGATAATAACACAATGTATTTTTTAAATGTATGTAATAGATATTTATAGTTTCATTTAGAACAAAGTCAAAAATTGATACATATATACCTAATAGTCGATCGTGCTATATGATAAGTATTTTTAATATTTAACATTTTATTATTAATATATTTTATTAGGTTATAAGTTTATAATAATATCATTGACTAATAGTAAGGTCAGTGAATATGCACATAGTTTTATAATTATTATTTTTAAAAAAACCTATACCTGCCTATTTATATATTGCGTACGTATATAATAATTATTTGATGAAATGTATCTATAAATATAAAGACAAAAAATAAGTATATAGGTACATATATAATATCTTTTGAGAAATGTTGAATTTAATTTGTATTTAGAAGTAAAAATTGATATACCTATCTAGAACCTTGTATCTATATATACATTTTTTCATATATCTTGTTTGTCCTGATTAAATGTATATACACGACGTATATATAATATTATATATAATATAATATTATATATTATATATAATACAATTTACGTGTATTACACGTAAATAGTATATAATACACCTGACACTTATACGTATAGTTTCCATTAAATTAAAGTGATGACTGATAACTGACGAATAAACATTGATGTCTGACTAGATTTTTAATGTGATTAACTACAATGAACTAACTTAACAACATTCAAATTTCAAATAGCTATTATACATATACATATTATAGTATAGATAATTTTTTTTTTGAAATGTAACTTGATTCATAATATTAAATTTAGAAATATTTAAGCATAATTTTTAGGTTGGATCTGTATATAGATGATAATTTATAGTTCTATATGTAAAATCAACTATACTATGATACATTTTAAGTGATTTTATATCATATATTAGGTACGCCTATATATAATAATATATTTTATAAAATAAATATTTTAATTCAATTATGTCATATTATTATTCATTATTTAATAAAAATATATCTACAAGTGCGTGGTTATATTCTATATACTATATTATGTCTATATAAAGCATATAATATAAAAGTATACCTGCCTATATTCATGGATCTATAATATTTGATGCCATTGGCATGTGTATAGAATAGAAATGCGTGTAATTATTATGACTATTATTATTATTATTATAATTTATAAGTAATAGCTATACCGAAACGATATAGCTAGGTGCACGCTTATATAAAATATGTTTGTCCGGCATCCTCCTGCCTGTGTGATTTGTTCCACGAGAACATCGTATATTACCTCTTCTTGTAATTTAAATATGTACACTACAGCCTATAGAGAGGCCGCGGTGAATGACGCCAGCACACGCCGTCAAATAACCGTGTAAAACACGATTACCCACGATTTGTTATACATAATATATGTATATACATATATACGCACATGCCTATCATACAGCTATTACTATATAGGTGTAAACCGGAACCTCTTGTCTACGATATATATCTTCCTACACACACACACACACACACATACAAGGTGTCGGTGTTGTCTTGTAACAAATGTTCCGTATGATGTTTATATGTATTTATCCACTTTTCATCGTTGTTCTAGTAGGCTTACTATAAATAGTTTATAAATTATATACAATATACATAATTGCATAGGTATTATAGATATTAGACACCTATTGTTATGTTTACTTTATGACGTATATGTAATTTAAAAGTTTTATTAATCAATTTAACATGTATATTTTATATTTATTTTATTTATTACCTATTGATATATAATTATAGATACTATCTACTTTAGGTTTTATTAACTTTATAGAAGTAGCTCGTATGTATATCCAAGATATATATATTTTATACATTATGCACTGGTTTATTTTTATAATTTTGATAACACACACACACACACACACACACACACACACACACACACACACACACA